AATATTTCAGTGTGCAACTTACTGGGGGGAAAAAAAAAAAAGGCTCCAGTTTCTTCATCCCAGACAGAGGCGGACTAAAAAATCCTAACACTCATTCCTGGGGTGAGAAGACTGTTAGGTTCAGCCAACAAGTCTTCTCTAGGTAATTCAAGAGAAAGGGGCATTTTCCACCTCCTCATTCACAGATGAGTTTTGCCAATCTCAGGGAGATCTGAAGGGCTAGGAAGATGCAGAGGGAGGAGAGAAAACAACAGTATTTGTCAGAAATGTGACTATCTTCAAGGAGACTCTCTAATGTTCTTTCTTTCAAGAAAAGCCAAGGCTTGGGGCAAAGGCACGGAGATTTTAAGCTGGGCTGCAGGGAGGCTTACGTGACGATGAGCTGCAGCCTGCCCAGAGCTCAGCCCCTGCTGCCTGTTACTGCAGCTTCAAAGGCACGATTATACTGTAGGAACAGCCTGCGGGGAAAGTGCCAGCAATTAATACCAATTTAGTGAAATACAGAGAGAAGTTGAAGGTGTGGGGCAGTGGCCAGCCGCCTGTCCGTTCCTGGGTATGGAGGTGAGGCTGCTGCTATCTGCAGCGTTCCTCTTGGCTGGGATGATGTCCCAGCAGGAGCAAGAGAGGAGGCAGAGGTTTAGGACGATGAAGCAGTGAAATAGGGTGAAAAGAGACATGCAGGGAAGTAAGTGGTGCTGGCAGATTTGAGGAGGGTCATGCACGAAGGAACAAGGCTTTCCCAAAAAAAACAGCCGTCTGCTCTGCCCACTCCATGTCTTGGCTCCTCATGGTGTTCAGGGTATAAATAAGGAGCTAGCTCATTTTGGGGGGACTTTCTTTTCAAGGCAGATCCTTCATGAACCAGTTAATCAAGATGGATTCATGAGGTCCATTTCAAGTCATCAGTCCTCCTGCATTATGCATTTCCTTTGGTGATTGAGCCCACAAGCAATGGGGAGGAATATAAATGTGGCACTTGCTGACACCTCTCCCAGCAACCGAGGCAGTGAACGGGATGGTAAAACAACGGGATGGTAAAACAACCTTTGGCTGAAAACCGTTTTCACTTTAAGAACAGCAAAAAGAACAGATGCAGCAAGGAAAACACAATGAGGAATAAACCGTTCCCGGTACTGTTCTGTTTTCTACCTGAAGGTCTGTAACAGCTGCCCATGTTATTTACTAGCAGCAGGACTTCTGCATGTAGTCATTTTGCGGGGTTCATTAGTGCAGAGGAGAGCCCATGGTACGGGCTGAAGCGTGAGTTCCCTCCTTTGGACCGAGCCTGGCTGCTGCTCGCGCTGTGCTGCAGACAGTGAGTCAGAGCAGGCGTGGAGGAGGGAGGCTGTCTCAGCCCATCAGCGCGGATGGGTCCAGATTTTTGTGGTTTATTGTCAGCCTGCTAATTTGATGGCATTCAGTGAAAGCCAGGCGTTTTCCAGGCATACACAAGGCAGGAGGCCCAATTCTCTGGTTTGCTGAGATGATTTTGCGAAGTGAATTTAAATCGAAGGGACAGCTAGTCCTGCTGCAGGGCAGGGGTGGTCTGGCTGATGTGGTGTCCCTTCCAGCCTGGCTTTGAGGGTTCCCAGAGAGAACTGAGCCTGCAGAAGTTTGTCTCCTCCGGAGTACCCACGTGCTGGGCAGTGACCCTCTCTGGGGCTCCCTGTGTTGCCTTGGGGTCCTGCTGTGCCTGCTTTGCCAGGGGAGCTGGCGTCGCACCTGAACCGGAGCGTGCGTTCCTGCATTCCTCCTCTTCCTCCCTGGCTCACTGGCAGTGTGCATAGGGAGGTGAAGTCCTGCATGTCCAACACATACATCCCAAATGGTTCAGGTCTAAAGACCCTGAAGAAAGTCACATCCTACCAAATTCCAGCCTCTCAGCGAGTTTCCCTGAACAGTCCACTGTGCCCCAGATGTGGCTGCAAAGCCAGCTTTTCCCAGTACTCATTGGCATATGTTTGAAATGGTTTCGAAACCTTTCGACCTCTCCATGGGACCCCAGAGGTCCTCCCATGGAGTACGTCATTCCAGCACTGTTCACTTCTTGCTGTGCTTGTTTGGAAGGCGGAGGGAAGCATTTCTGTACCGGTTCTTTCCCAGACAGGTTGATACTAAACCTATGGCTGCAAAAGCATGTCTGCTGCCACTCAGTAATGGGTTGCAGTCCTTCCTTGGTCAGTGCTTAAGAATTCATTTTCTGTTTTCCAGTTATGGCCAAGGGAAAACTAAATAAAAGATCAGCTTTTTTTGCAACATGTGGCTACAGTTAGTACAAGGTGACAGATGATTGATGATGACTTTGCTTGCAAATATTGTAATTCTCCTGTTCTCCTCTTTCCTACAAGCAGTGACTGATATTCCAGAAAGACAGATAAGCATATTTAATTCCTGATGCCAATTTGTCAATAGAAGCATGTTCAAGAGACACTTTGCGTAACATTTGATATTTTCTTGTTTCTATGTTAGCCAGCAAGAATCCACCTCCTCTAGGAATTATTTTCTAAAATATCTGATCTCTGGTATTCCCCATTCATTGATTGTCATGTCACCCCACCTGCCCTGAGGAGACTTCAGTGGTGCAGTGATTAAAATTCCTTTGTAATTAGGACTGTTCTTACACTGACCTTGTACTGGGGCATGTGGAGGAGGAATAATAGGTGAAAACAGTTATTTTAGTGGTTGATAACAGCCAAAATGCAAAGACATATTCAAGATTAATGATGTCCTCTATGGTCCAAACTGCCTTAAACAACTGGAAAATCTTCAGAGATCTCCACACTTTTTAAACGACCTGAATTGTGTCAAAAATCAATGGGGAAAAATTAGTATAATCTTTGGGAAAAAGTAATTCCTTTTGCCTATTCAGATTACTTTAAACTTTTATGTAAGATGAATCCCAGTGAATATTGTTGAATACTTGCTTCAGTTTCAGAATGGTTTGGTTTGGGGAAAACAGTGAAAGACCGTGCTTTCAACCGCTTCTGTCTCATCACTGGTGTCACATCTTTTTTTGACTTTTCCTATTTAAATCAGCTTGTTGAGGGAGCTAAATACACCAGGCATCTTCGTCATACTCTGTTGTGAACTGGGACTTTTCTTCATGCCTTTATAGGCCTTCCAAGGAGGAGCTGGTGGCACAAACTTCAAGTTGCTGTGTGGTAGTTTCTTTTGACAGATCTTTTTCCCCTGAGTACCTCCCAGGAGCAAAATGTCAGTGTAATTTGGTCCTAGCCATGAATACCCAGTTGGCAACCTGTGAGGTCCCTATTACTGAACCTTAGGAGCTCTGCGTGCCAAAAAACACTTGGCCTGAAATGCATTAAGATGTCAGGGACAATTATCCTGCTGCATTTCCTATTCATTAATCACAGCTCTGGCTTTCTGAAACCCCTACGCTAGCAATTACAAACAAGATTGATGTGGGTTTAACCAGCATTCTGAGGTATACGTACACACAGAACATCTTTTTTTTTTTTTTTAACCTAAATCACTGCACTTTGAAGCAAAAAAATTATTTAGAGCATCTGTACACTTATATCCAATCTTCAGCCTTGTAAGTGGATGCCAAATTGCTTACAAAAAGCTGGAAAAAAGGGTGTGAAAGTCTTTAAAGACATTTTTGAGTCACTTATGACTCCCTTGGTCTGACATTGATGTGAGAGGGCAATTTAGTCTTTTCCTTGCGAGTTGTCTGTTCCCAAAACAGGTTTCCGTCTAGTGGTTTGGTCCTGGCCTTGGAAGGCAATAACCTAACGGGCTCCCTCAGCCTACGCACAGAGAGCACCATTTTGGGAACCTGACCAGTGTCGGCTTTTTTAACTCACACCAACATCATGTGGTTGAGACTAAGTGAAGGAGAGAAACCCAGTGGTAGGTTGAGCTGATGCCTGTGGAGAACATTCAGCAGCAGGGCATGGGGAAGGCAGAAGCTCAAGCTCTGCTGTTGCTCAAGTGACTGCACTCTGGACAGTCCGCGTTCGTTTTCCCCTGTGCACTGCAGTTGCTGATGGTACTAGTGAAATTCATTAACTACATCTCTTGTGCTCCTGTTCCAAAAGAAAAAGCACCAGGCTACAGCCTGTGCCACACACGGGAGCCCACGCAGGAGGGCAGAGTCTCTGTGCAAGCACCTGCTTTGTGCAAGGAGGTGCAGCAAAGATCTGTATAGCAGCAGTGCTGAAGAGATGGGATCAAAGCTGGGGCACCAAACACCTACCTCTCCTCCACATCGCTTGCAGTGCACCTCTAATGACTCTTTTGCCTCTGACTCAACGGGAGTGACTAATTCTACAGTGCCACCCCGATACGTGTGTATTTGTGCACTTGTGTTCATCACACACAGTGGGTAAGGATCAGAGCAGAACAATAAAGAAACGCAAGAAATGTCTTTCGTTAGTAATCTGAAGTAAAAAAAAAAATACACCCTTTTGTCTCCCAAATTGGGAAATCCTATAAAGGAGCTTTTCTAATAGACAGACTCCTCTGACAAGATGACCTACCACTTACTTCTTGGTCTGCTGAAAGTTCATTGTTCAGGATTTGCTTTTCCATACAAATTGTGATTGGAAAAGAAGTAGCCTGTCCACTGGGGACTGAGTGCATAAAAGTTGGAGGTGAATGAATAATTCTGCATAAAAGTTAGAGCTGGGTGAATAATTCTGTCTAATATGTTCTGAGAATTTTATTAGTTTTATCCGAGCATTTTTCAGGATATATTTTTCCATTATTCTGATGGCTTTCTTGCAAATAAGCAAATGTTATTAATATGACTGTCTCCCTGGGTGGAAACTGTAGGATATGTCCAGCTCAGAGCCTGTGAGAAAGGCAAGCGCAGCCCGTGGCTGGGGAAGTGGTGTCTCTCTTGAATTGGACCTTCCTTGCAGAGGGAAGAGATTTTCCTGCAGCTGGCTGCCGTATCCATAGACTGGCAGGATTCCTCTTACCCACCCAGAGGTGTGTTCCTCTGGTGAGCTTCTCCTGTTTCTCTCCTGTACTAGGGATTCATGGATATTGACCTGACCAAATTCAAGGAGAGTGGAGCCAATGTAACCGGCTTCCAGCTGGTGAATTACACGGATGCTGTTCCCGCCAGGATCATGCAGCAGTGGAGGAACAACGATGCCAGGGAGCATCCTCGCGTGGACTGGAAGAGGCCAAAGGCAAGTGGTATTAAAAAAGCTCTTACTTTAGGGTCCATCTGGCTCAGTTCAAGTTATGCTCACCTCATTGTGATCACACAGAGCTCTCTAGTCTCGCTCTGAAAACCTGGCAGTTAATGTAATTATGAACCTTGTCAGCTCCAAGTGCCTCAGCATTGTCTGTATTTTACTAGGCGATAGTTTCTGCCTGCTAAGTAATACACAAGTTAGTTCATTCACTCAGTCTCCCAGTTTTTACCCTCCATAAAGCTAAGGATTATCTGTTCATCATGTTCAATATGTAAAAAAGAAAAAGCCTCATTAACTCCTTAACCTTTGACTTGTTTACTAGATATCCGGTGATGATAATGTCTTTCCAGATGTTCTTTCTGAGCATTTCAAATCAGTGTTTACCACAGTGGGGAAGTATATTTTAATTCCTAACGCAGAAGCTCTTGAGGGGCAGGTGGAAGGGGAAGGTTGTTTTTTTACTCTCTGACATTTGAAAACAAATACACTTATGATAAACACTCAGCAACAGAAACGTCAACTTCGGAAGTATTAGTTTAAGAAAGATGCAAACAAGTAAACCAGTAGATGATCACAGAAAAGGAATTAACTCTAATGGTTACCATTCAGGCCAAGAGTTTTACACTGGTTTCTGCAGAAGGTTCTGCTTGAATAAACTCATCTTTCACAGAATTTTTCTGCATTGAAGTAGATTTTTCTGGTCTCCATCAGTGACCAGAAAGAGTCACTTGTTGCTTGATTTCATGTATCTCACATTTGCACTGTATAATGTATCCCTTAAAAGTTCAAGTCAATGATTCTAATTAAACATAAAGACTTGTGTCACAGGTAAATGGCTTTTAAGGCCGAGTCCTCTTCAGGGAGTACAGTCTGAATCCATATCAGTAGCTTCTCCTTCACTTCCCCATCCTCTGGGAGAGAAGGCACTACGTTTCACGAGTCAACAGAACAGTAGTGATTACAGGGTGCCAGGGGCTGTTGAACTTCATAGATGGAAGGATGAAAAAAGATCAAATCACCTGAAAAGTTGCCATGAGGCAAACCAGTGTCGCATGCCTGAGGTCAGCTCACTCTAATGGGCAATGTGCAACTCTTCTCTTTCTAGTACACGTCAGCCCTAACGTATGATGGGGTTCGGGTGATGGCCGAGGCGTTTCAGAACCTGCGGAGGCAGCGGATCGACATCTCCCGTCGCGGCAACGCTGGGGACTGCCTTGCCAATCCGGCCGTGCCGTGGGGACAAGGCATTGACATCCAGAGAGCGCTGCAGCAGGTCTGAAACCCAAACGATGTCTGCGTTGCAAGGAGGACTGAACGTAGGCTGTGGGTGGGGGAAGCGGGGGGATTAGCAGCAGAAATGCTCACACAAATCACTTGGGATGAGGAACTGATCCTTCTAGATTAGAGCCAGCTCTCCTGAGGAGTTCAGGGTCCATCCAGCAAACCACTTGTCCTGGTCCCATCCGACATATCCTTGCCTTCTCTAATTTCTGTTGAAGTTCTGGGATGAAAAAGCCAAAATATTATTAAAAAAAATCATGGGTCCCTATTTTTATCTTCCCCTTCCCAACAGGGAGACCTGTTTAGACCATATTTTTTGCAGACTCCCTGTGAACTCGGCTTCAGTCCCAGACTGCTAATGAAGCTTGAAGCCACGTGAATTTTGCCTTATGTGTTGGCTGCCGTCAAAATGTTCTCAAAACCCAGATTATAGCTTGTTTCATACTGTGAGGATTCATAAAAGTCTTAATAACAGCCATTTAGATAATTTATTCCTTAAATCTGATAATCTTGCTTTCGCATCCTGCATAAAAGTTTAGATTTTTGAATAAACAATAATACTACATGAAACTTACAGCAAGAGAGAAAAACAATACACTCTTATCAAAGATTTAGAAAGGTAGAATATTTTAAAATTTCATTAAATTTCAAGACTGACATTAATTTCTAACATTTCTACAAAAATAGATGGATTCCTTGCTAGTTCAGTGTTATCCAAACATAGCTTATCCCACCTTCTTTCCTTAAGTGTGAAGAAGACTAGAAGAATTAAATTAATTTGGTTGATTTACATCATATGTAAATTTCCCCTGATATTTTGTTTTGATTTGGTTTTGGCTTACTGGTAAACAACAATTCCTTTAAAACCAAATCTTGCATCTGATTTGATTTTATTGCTTAGATTCAATTTTTTCCCATGCCTGTCATTGACTTGGTTTGACCCTAGTCAAATTGCTGTCACAGCTTCTCCAAACCCTTATAATAAAATCAACCTCTTTGATGCATTAGGGAGATCGGTTACCTAATAAACATGAAATACTTGGAAGTCTTCTGGGGAGCAATGGGTTCTCAAGCATTTTCCTTTATTGAATTTATGACAGTAGGATGTCAGAATTAGATGGCTAGAAAATACAATTCTCTGTGTGTGTTGGAAAATCTCCTCTGAAGTTTCCTCATCTCTTCATAAAGACAATTTCAAAACTCTTAATTTTTTAAATGTAGTGATTTTGGGAAAAGAACATGAGCAACGATTTGCAAAAGTTGTTTCCTTACCATTGAAAAATTATAATTTTTAGAAGTTTTGACCAGTTAAGTTCTAATGGTCAGAATAAAAGGCCCTGAACGTGCAAGGAAAGAAGCCTCCTAGGGAAATGTTAACTAGGAATTTAATTATCATCCAGCATTTAGTGTTGTAGCAAGAAAGAGTCAGATGGAAACAGAAGAACTTATTAGATTGAAGGTTTGAGTTATCCTTTCTGTAAAGGCTCAAAATTAGGGCAATTCCTGCAGCTATTCACAGTGTGCTTTCTCTTCACCTCCTATTTGATAATGCCTAAAATATTGTAAGCTGTTTAAAAGCACGACATTTCTCTACTTATTTCTACTCAAATGTCTGGAATAAGCTCCTGAATTACCTTATATCTGTTTAGTGTAGTAAGGAGTCATGGATGGCAGGAGCAAAGATGGAAAGTAATTTGAAACATTCTGCATTTTTCCAAAACCAAAAACCTAACATATTTCAGCAAAACGTGTGCTTTTACTAAAGGGAATGACTTTTTTTTTATTCCAGGAAAATGCTCACAAAATGCTGCTTTAAAACAATACACTGAGATTTCTGTTGTACTTTGAAAAAGTTATGATTTTTGACAGAATTTTTTGTTAATGTTATTTGGTTATCACATATAATAAGCAGGTAGCTGGTCCCTAACTGCTGACTAACCCTGTACACCAGAAGGCCACAAGAGCATCCTTCTGCTCCAACTGTCCCAGCAAAGAGCCACATGCCCATGTCTTACACACAAATGTGCTTAAATGTTCTATTTCTCCAGCTGATTTTACTGGTTCTTAGTACTGTTGAAATCAGACCTCGCTGTATTTTGTAGTGATTCAGGGTGTCTCAGAGGACAGTAAATGATGGAAAAGATGTGCTGCATCCTCCAGCACAGATGGGAGAGATCCCTTTTGCTCTTTCAGTGCCACGTGGATATCACGGGGTTAAGATTTCATTCATTCAGATAGAAGAAATTGATGCTGTGCACTTGCCTTTCAGTGCATATGCAGCTACAAAGCACATGCACCCATGACCTGAGCTTCAGGGTCAGTCAGAACCTGAAGAGAAAAACAAAAGGGCCATGAAAACAATCAGGCTTGGGAGTGCTTAATTCAGTGGTGCTTTTCCAGCGCATCTACCTTTTATGGGCATGTTGTGTCTTATGAGGAGGGAAAAGTGTGTTTCTGCAAATGTCAGGAGACATTGAAGGAGTTTCAGAAAATACTGGCAGATGTTTGTTTTCATGACAAACCTTTTTGAAAATAGCTTGAAAACAAACATGGTTTAAGCAGATTAGTGACAGATTTCCTCCGTATAATGACATATCCTGGTTTCTTCACCATGAGTCTTTATTCTGAGGATCTCAAAGTACTTAAAAGGATGCTAAATACCTGTTCACGTTTTGCCTGTGGGAAGACTTCAGTTGCAGGGACAACAGATTTGTGCAAAGCAAGTGGAAAGGCTGAGAACAGACCTTTAATTCCCAGTCCAGTGTCAAGATCACTTCTCCAGGTTGCTGCTCTAGAGACCCAAATTTGTACTCCTTTTCCCATGTTCCTTGTCCCCCCTGCCTGGTTCCCACACACTGTATGTGATTCCAGTCGGAAGCCTTTCTCCATGCCAGGAGAAGGGCCGTGCTGAGAGGAGAAGTTCAGGACATGTGATGTGAGCAAGACTCTTCAGCTTGGCAGTGTTATCAGCAGAGATTTATGATTCAAAGTTTCTTACAAAAATTTCATTTACAATACTAAATTGTCAGGTTTTATTAGGTTGGTGCAGAGGTAATTTAATTTGCTTGTTAACTGATAGACTCCTCTCTATCAAAAGACGACAGCTGGGAGCTGTGGCCACGGTTTCATATTTCCTCCAAATACAGTTCCTGATTTGAACGGACAAATTCTTTACCAAATCCTGACTCCAGGTCAGATTTAGAAAACACAAAAAAATCACAAAACCCAAGGATTTCAGAGCTGATTTAAGTCACTGTCACATCCCAAGAGGCGATGGACTCACACATGTGATCTAGCTCTTATGCATCGCTGAGCTCAGTAATAGACCACTATGTTTTAAGGGAAAGGGATTTTAAAGGAAAGGGTAAGTCAAAAGGATGGCTGTGCACATGGCCAGGCATGCCGGAGAGAGTGAACCTAAGTGAAAGCCTGGCATCAGGTACATGTCCTGTCTCCACCACACGGATCTGAGAGACATAACTGCACTCTTCATCCTTCTTCCCCTCCTCTCTTACTGCTGCCAAATCACCACCACGAGAGATGCTGACCAATCTGCCCTCCTCATTGTTATTTATGTCTCTAAGGTCCGCTTTGAAGGATTGTCTGGCAACGTTCAGTTCAACGAGAAGGGACGGAGGACCAACTACACCCTCCATGTGATTGAGATGAAACATGATGGGATCAGAAAGGTAAAGCACAGCGACCTGAGATCCTGTGTCAGGCACCAGCCCAGTGTTTGGGTTACAATGTGGTTAGGTATCAACAGATGTTTAAGGATAAAGGCAAATTTCTCATTGAGAAATAAAAGCAGTGTCATTTTGAAGACACACAAAGTGATCTTCCTCCTCTACAAGGCATTCATAAGAGGACAAATGCAGTATTATATCCAGTTTGAGGCTCTGAATTTCAAGAAGTTGGCAATCTGGAGAGAGTTAGGAGGAGAAGACACAGAATAGATAAAACTCTTGATTCTGCTGTGTGCTTACTGACAGAAATGATATTTGTTTGGAAGACATGTACATCCCTGCCACGATGCCTATTGTATCTTAAATCCACCAAGTTAGATGCGCAAAATAAACATACATGTCTCCATTTATGTTGCCCTAGGGCAGAGCTTTGGGAGCTCTTTCCTCACTCTCTTCTCTTCTTGTCTGTGCAATGAAGAGATGAGAAGCCAGCATAGAATTTTTTTTTTCTCCTGAGCTGTTATGATCTCTAATCTGCCATCAGCAGTTCCTGGTTGTGCCCTGTGTTAATACCCTTTTCCACTTACTGTGATAAGAAAGTCCTTTCACATGAGCAAAGCTCAGGCAACTGCAGACTTACATGAGGTGATGGAAAACCTCTTATACAATCAAGCCCTCAAAGTGGATAACCTCAACAACGATCTTCCTAGTGACATTTGGGGGCACACTGCTTTACCTGCAAGCAGTGATGGACCAGTCCAAATCCCTGATTATTAATAAGCACAACTTAACTTAGAGAGTCCTTCCCACTACAACTGTTTGGTTTGTTCATAACCCCAAACTTTAGGACATTGGGCAGGGATGGGGTTTTTTCCTCACTTGACTTTTTGTCCTGTTGTCCCAAGATGTCCTGAGAGTCAGTTCTGTGTTCACGCAGGCTTTCAGCTGCAGAACAGCATTTTATCACCCTGTAGCATCCAGACATGCAGCAGGCATGCTCACCATTTGGAAAATGCTCAGAAGTCACACAGGGGTAGTGTGAACTCTTGGCATGGGGATAAGGCAGGGAATGGCAATAATCCCCCAGTACCATGTGTTAAATGTCTTTACGTGCAAACCAGCACTCTCCTACTGTAGTGTATCCTGCATGTTATCTTCAGTCTGGAGGCACAGTGGGATGAGGAAGTTACTGGTCCCTTTGGAAAAAGACATCAAGAATCAGGAGAGGAGGTCTCTGGTTGTGTATGAACATACAGGGAGAGCTGATCCTGCTTGAATGACCTTGATACCATATCTTGGTTAATATTACAAAGTGGTATCAATGAAATATCCTGGTTTTGTCTTTGGCAGATTGGTTATTGGAATGAAGATGAGAAGTTGGTTCCGACAGCCGTAGATACTCAAAGCGGCAATGAGTCTACAAGCCTCCAGAACAGGACGTACATAGTCACAACTATCCTAGTAAGTGCTGTGATTCCTGCCCCAGCTCTCCCTCTCCCCTGTCTCCTTGATGTGCAGACTCTCTCTTCCCCCTGTTGTTCCTTCCTTTGTACTATATCATTTTTATAACAGCGATAACAATAATAATAATAATAATAACAGCACTTACTGTTTCCTGCCAGGTCCATAAAGGTATCTGAAAATTGCTGTGGCTAATTAAATAGGCATTAAAGAGCTCTCATGCCTAAGTGTAGGAAATACAAAAGATTATGACAAGATAGTAGAGGCATCAGCATAGGTAAATTAGAAACATTATACCTGTGCTTTGTATTTAGCCCACAGAATGGGGGCTGTAATTTTGGGAAAGATAAGCTGTATTGTGCAGAGCGGCTGAATCATAGCTTTAAAAACAAATCTCCACTATAATCATGAAGGAACAATAGGTACCCCATAATGTAGGGTATCATGTATTGTGTCATTGTATACGCTTACCCTGCAGACACATGAAATTTTACTAACTTGTTTGTTGAGTGCTTACTGTGAGTCTGCAGAGAAGACACAATACCTAAACTGAGTTAAACATCTTTAAGGCTCTCTCCTGTCCAGCAGATTAGATTCTGCCTGTGCCCACACAGGCAGATATGCCTTGAAAAATTCACAGCTCAGATGCACTAAATATCCCTTGCAGAACTGCACTGAAAGGTTTGTTGCCCAAATTCCACCAGCTACTCCGTTCCCCTGAGGTCCATCGCTGCAGAATCTGCACACAGATTCGGCACGAATAAATAGAAGATGCCGCAATAAAAATCACACTTTGCACTTTCTGAAGGAAGCCCAGTGTGTGTTGACTGTGCCCTTGGGTGCAGGAGCACAAAGCCAGAGCTTCACAAGGGGACCAGAAGCTGCTCGCTGGGCTCTAGTCTGAGCCCGTCTCTGGAATGTGGCACGTGGCTCAGTATTGATCTTCTCTGTGCCAGGAAGACCCATATGTGATGCTCAAGAAGAACGCCAACCAGTTTGAAGGCAATGAGAGGTATGAAGGCTACTGTGTGGAGCTTGCTGCTGAGATCGCAAAGCACGTTGGCTACCACTACCGACTGGAGATTGTCAGAGATGGGAAGTACGGAGCCCGGGACCCCGACACCAAAACGTGGAATGGCATGGTGGGAGAACTCGTTTATGGGGTGAGTTTCCAACCTCCCCTGTTGTCCTTAGCTCTTGGTGCTTGAGAACACATTCAGGCCCTAGGGTGAAAAGAAGTCCTGCCTTTTGTCAGCCTGAGCTGCCTTGAGAACTGCAGCTCTGATAATGCAGATAATCAGACCCAAGTGAAACATTTTAATTTAGGGAGGGACAGCACATTTTGTGCCTATGGAAATGTCAAAATGTTTCCTTTCAACAGTTCCACGATTCTTTTTCGTTCCATTTTTGGAAGAATAAGTATTGAAAGGTCAAACTTTCTCATGGGTAGAATCTCCAAATTTTACTCTATTTTATATTTGCATGATAATGTCAGGATGAAAGAAGGATAAGCTTTCAAACACTCAACACATGACTGGTGAACACTGCGTCTAGACTACTTTCTGTCTAGCCACTCATTTCCATCATCTCAGATAAACACCTGCACCCTACACTTCGAAATCTGGTTCAGTCCGGTAGTTCACAATCTGCGGTGTAAGGTCACCCTTCAGAAGCATCTAATTTTCCCTTGTAAGGACAAGGGGAAATTAATGTAGGGATCATCAGTGCCCATGTCTCTGTGTCACCATGTTGGAGCGGGGGATGATCTGTCTCCTGCTGGGAGCTCCACAGTATATGCTGACAGCCATTTCAATGCATTTCCCTTTCCATTTTCAAGATGGATTGTAAAATAAGTGGAGAGTGCACATCAGTGTTACTGGAACATTTTTCCTCTTCTCCTGCGTCAGTTATGCAATCAAAAAGCAGTTCCTGATGGAAGTAAACATTCTGGCATCCTTTTTCAGGCAATTGGCCTTTCCTTGCCTCTTTTGATGTCTGGATGATAAAGCTCTTTTAGTGAAAATCATCTGCATCAGACTGTGACATCAGTGGATAAATCAGACAAGAAAAGCTAGGTGGCTGCAAAAAGGAACCGCTGTGATTTTAAAACAGAACTGTAATCAGGAGTGATAAAATGGAAATAATCCACCAATATTAGGGGCTGCTCCTTTTTAACATTTATCTTGCAATTGGTTTTGTCTGATTTCTTCTGAGGCAGCGGGGGTAAACAGAGATCAAAGGAACATAAGCTGGAGTCAGTAGATGTATTTTATCCCAAGAATGTAAATCTCTTTTCTGTCTCTCCTTTTCAGAGGGCAGATGTGGCTGTGGCACCATTAACCATCACTCTGGTTCGAGAAGAAGTTATAGACTTTTCCAAACCTTTCATGAGCCTAGGTATCTCCATCATGATAAAAAAACCTCAGAAGTCCAAGCCAGGAGTTTTTTCCTTTCTGGATCCTTTGGCTTACGAGATATGGATGTGCATTGTTTTTGCCTACATTGGAGTGAGTGTCGTCCTCTTCCTGGTGAGTCGCTTCAGCCCTTACGAGTGGCACACTGAGGAATTTGAGGAAGGACGAGACCAGCCGGCCAATGACCAGACAAATGAGTTCGGCATATTCAACAGCCTCTGGTTCTCCCTGGGAGCTTTCATGCAGCAAGGATGTGATATTTCTCCAAGGTGGGTTGCCTTCCCCAATGAGCCTTCTTCCCGTTCATATAGTTTAATATTTCTGCATGCTTTGGACCTGAACAGGTTTTCCTTTGACCTTTCTTCCTGAACTATAGTGCAGTTTTGTGAATCAGTTACAGATTCAGAAAGGACCCAAGAGTTAACAAGTCTCACAGTCATGAACTTGGGACCTCAAACTTGAGACTATAAAAACACCATTCTAAATTTGTGCAGGGAGTTCTTTTAGGGAAGTTTACATAAATGAAAACAAGATTTTCTAAAGTGACACATTTGCAGTCAATTTTTGTGAGTCATTTATTTTGCTGCTGCTAGAAACAAGATCATTCTAGCATTATAGGGAAGCTTCCAGTAAAGTAGGGAGAAATAATACCGTAGGTGCCCAGTGAAAGGGTATATGGTCTGCGCCAAAGATTATGGAGCACTCCAAGTGGCTTTAAGTATTATCGGCCTTTAGAAAGGCCAGAGAAGTGCTAAGTTTTCCTTCTGGTTCCCATTTCAGTCAATAGCTCTGCTGCCTGAAAGCTCAGTAGGACCCAAAGTCTAAAGGGCTCTAAAAGGGACATTTTGGTGGATGACTCTTGTGATTACTTTTAGATTATTTTTCTTGGAAAAGCTGTCACAATATAAAGTGGCTGGAAAACTGCATGAAATGCAAAAGATTTAAATCTGTGATAGAGACACAAGCAGAGACTTATTTGTAAATAATGTCAGGAAATACCTCCTTCGTTTTTGAGAGCTGTATTCACACAAGTCTTATTTCAAAGGTTTTGCCTGCTGCAGGGGCCCATGACACACGTATCTTCTCAATGCCTTGTTTGTACAAAGGCATTCAAAAGGAAAAGGAAAAGAATTAAAAGCATAGGAATGAAGTAGCTGCAAGAGGGCTCTAATTGATTTTCTTATTTATTTGCACATATTATATGTCGGTTAAGTAATGTCTGTAATAACTGGAGGGTCTTTCCTGTGGCATGTGTATGTTTATATGAGGCAGGATCAGAGCTGAGCCAGGGATAAGATTTTTGACACCTCCTGTGGTTGTGTCCAGGGTAGATGTAAGGATTGTGAAGCTGGAAAAGGGATGTTACTTGGGATGTAGTTCATATGGACCCACCGCTCTCAGGAGGTCTGCTCTGGATGTTGGTTGGAGGGAGACCCTGCGGACACATCAGGCACTGAGGCTGGCAGATGCTGCAGGACACGGCTGTCGTTTACCCTGCCCACAGCTCAGAGAGGCACACTTGTCCCAGTTTAGGATAAGAACATTTTTTGCCAGGTTCGGCTCAAACCAGAGGTACTGCCAGTCACAAGAATGAATTTACAGGCAGCATGTGCATTTTTTACATTTACATGCCATGGTGACATCTGAAGTGATGCTCTGATAAAAGCAGACAGACAACAGAGAGCTGTGGTTTTCTTTTTTCCTCATCCTTCCTTTCTTGGGCTTTGTCTCCCTTCTCCTCAAGGGAAATTTCGGCAGAGACACGTGTCTTGTGGGTGAACACAGCAGGCAGCAGTTAATTTCCCACATGCTGGGATGGCCTCAAAGCTTGGGGGACAAGGGAGAGGCACAACCCAACCGGCCAGCGGAGACGACTGCGCGGGGCGGAATGGGGGGAGAGGCCAGGCACCAGCTCGTTAGCTATTGGATGCCAATTTGTCTAAATATTAATGAGCTTGGGATAGCGGGGAAATAGGAGCCTGTAGGGCACTTGGATAGAAACAGCTGTTCTGAATAGGGTTTATTATCTGCTCATTGATTAGTAGCAGTCCAGGCGGAGCATTCCGAAAGTCTGCCCAGCAGAGGGAATTTCACCTTTATCGCTGTCTCGTAACACAGGCCCGTGTGTTAGGAGCAGGTTATTGTGATTTTCATTCTCATTATTGTTCTTGTCATCATTGTTCTGATTTCGGAAAGAGAATGTCTTCCTCTGGGGACATTTCAACAGCCAGTTTCGGTTCTGAGGAGGAGTGTGGAGAAGTGAAAAGCTGAGACTTTGTGGAATAGAAAATTTGGAAATATCTTTAACAAAAACTGTCAGGGATAGAGTAGTGGTTTTGATTCAAATAACACGATTTGCTCTAGCTAAACAACAAGCTTTGAATCACCATTTCAAAGTGTTGTTTTATTTTGCTTTGAAATGGAAAATGAGAATACTTCTATCATTGTTATTTTAATGTTGTTAATTTGATCATCCTGATAATGAAACTCACACGTTCACTGAAACCAGTATTTTCCCATGGAGCACAAGAGTGCTTTCTGACTACAAATATTTGCAGGAAGAGAAAATTTGAAAAACAAAATACGGGAAATATTATAACTCCCTGTACTCCAAGTACAGGTCCTTGAGACGGTTGCAAGTGGAGGGGGACATTTCTGTGAAATGTGAAAGCTAGGAGGAAGCAGAAGAGTGAGAATTTCCGTAGGATGTTGTTGTACAGAAAGGCTCTGAGCGCGCTCCGTATCTCACACGTATTTCTCACACGAACCTGGTGCAGGATTTCTGTGACACACCACTTAGAAATGAACGCTTGGTAGAACAACGTTGTGGGCAGGTGAGGATCTGCTCTATTCCAATATATTTCCTGTATGGCTGCTTCTAAACTTATCACTACAATCTCTCAGCGTCTCCCCAGTGATGTATTAACCAACATAAATAGCTTCTGTTATACATCTGTTCTGCCGTTCTCTCCCCAGCAGAAAGGAGCAAGTGCAGGGGTGTATTTTGTTTTTGTAGAGATTTTGGTTTGTTTATTTCAGTTTTGTTTTGGGAAGGAGTAGGGGAAATTTGTCTGGAGGTTTGGGTTTGTTTTTTTTCAGAGCATGCTTGCTTTAAGTGCATATGCCATCACGTATTTATCGTTAAAAAAATGTAAGATCAAAACCGCAGACACTTCACTCAGCACAGTGGGTGGTGACATTTGCAGCACCTCCTTGCTCTTGTAAACGTGCGTTCCTCAGACTCAGACCAGTCCCCAGGGAACTCCAGTCCCACACAAAGATTTGCTTTTGAAGGCAAGGGACATCTTTTTTAAGGACAGTCTTACTAGCCAGAACTTTAATCAGGCATTTAAGTCTGCTGGTCACAACCTGCCAAGCACTTTAAAGTTACACCATGAATTTGATGACCTGCGGATGGCCAGGACAGATCAGAGCTATGGGTTATGTGCTCATAGCCTCTTCTCCTGAGGAGTGAGCCTGCGGGGCATGAGGTCTGCTGGTGTCCTTGAAACTCTGAAGCCTTCGTGTCCAGGTATTGACTGGATGAGCGTGACAAAGAGCAGGCAGTAAGCCGTCACGGAGAGTCCCAGCTGGAGCAGCTGCCAACCTGTGTTGTGCCTTTGGATGCTGCAACATGAACATGGGCAGGAAATCCATCCTCCCTAAGCCATAAACAGAATGGCTCGATTGTGGGTACATAGGTCCAACCGAGGGAGGCTGTGAGCTCTTGGACATTCCCCACTGGAGTGTGCGGTCCCTATTCTGCACCATCACTGACCAGTGGCCCCACCGGATGTGGTTCAGCCACTCCCACATGCACTGATTCGTCCTGGTGGAGGTGAGCTGGTCCCTGTAGTTGCCCTTAAAGTCTGTGCTTTCGAAGTACAGGCTGATGCAAAGCTGAAGGGGGGAGAAGCAACATTTTGGAGTGTGAGTAGTTTCATAGTAATGGGCAGAAATCAGTGAAGTCTGAAACGGGCCATAAACCATTCAGCTTTGCAAAGTGCCACCTTAACTTCAGAAAACAGTAGTGAAAAGGCAAAAGCATCCATTAAATGTGAAATACAGACCCAGAAAGGAGATTCTCAGAGCAGGCATCAGGGGTAATAAATATCTTGAAGCCAACAGCAAGACCCTGCAGCAAGAGAAATGTGAAGTAAATATGACTCACATTGTACCATTTTTAAGAAATGCAATTTGATAATTTCTCTTGAGAGCTTAAAATAACCCCAGTGTGTAGCATCTGTGAAGAGTGGGACCCCACCAATATCCAACACGCTTCTGCCATTCCCCGTACTGACCCCTGAGGAACGTCACTCATCGCTGGTCTCCCTTCAGACATGGAGACATTGACCACCACTCTCTGGATGTGACCATCCAGTCAATTCCTTATCCACTGAGTGGTCCCTGTGTCAAAACTGTGCCTCCCCAATTTAGAGACAAGGGTGTCATGTAGGACACCTTATTCTTCTATTTTTTGTATCACAATATGGTTTGCTTCATATCACCAGTGCAGGGTGCAGTGGCACGTGCCAAGCAGTGACCCCTTGGCTGGGGGAGGGGGGATGTCCTACTAGGGGAGGTTTGCCCGCAGAGAAGATGAATGAATACACCCCAGGGTGGGAAGGAGAGATATAAATGCGGGCTGCTATCCAATCAATAGATAGGATCTAATATTTATAGGCATATTCTGGACATCGTTATTTTTTTGGTGACATGGAAACACTGCGCTCTGGCTGATCTATACAGCATGCAGCCGTGTTCGTATTTCACTGCACTCCTTTGCAGGCTTTCTGTTGCACTCAGTCGTAGCGGTTTGTCTCTGGAAGAGCAAGCACGGTATTTATCACGTACCTGTAATTAATGCTGAACATTTTCTTCTGCTGGTTTTCCTGGATATTTACATTTCTTTTTAGATCAGTTGGAAAAATCACAGGAGACTTCAGCCATAGAGCTGGTGGAAATAACAGCAAAATTGCTCCACATGTTGTTGAGGAGTTGTTTTTTGGTTGGTTTTTTTGGTTGGGTTTTTTTTTTTCCTAAACTAGCCTCTAGAGATTTTGAAAAATAGCAGGACTTTTACATTTCGTCAAGATGTTCCTAGTACTGAAAGAATTTATCCGGTTTTAGACAAGATCTAAATCAGAAATTGGTTAGGACAAAAATTTTCTTTTTTTTAGTGAGAGGTTTGATTTGGGTTGTTTCAAGGAAATTATTTCTGTTCCTTTGTTAACTTACTTATTTTGCAGGGCACTTACTTATTTTGCTA